AGCCCGGGAAGTCGGCGCCCAGTGCGGCAGTCGGGGCGGTTTTGGCAGCCGCTTCCAAAGCTCCCCTGAATGCCGCACCGGGTGCTGGATGCCCGGGCTTCCAAAGCTGCCCCGGATGCCAGCTTCCAAAGCTGCCCCAACCGCTGCACCGGGTGCCGGATGCCCAGGCTTCCAAAGCCGCACCGGGTGCCAGCTTCCCGGGCTTCCAAAGCTGCCCCTACCGCCGCACCAAGTGCCGCCTTCCCCGGCTAAAGGTGCCCTGACCGTCACGCCGGATGCCAGTGCTTTGGAAGTCCAGGAAGCCTACACAGCAAATTTTTGGATTTGTTTTGTTTTTTTTCTAGCCCCAGGGGCTTGCAGTTTATTTTATTTTATTGTGATTTTTTTTTTTGGCCGGAACGGATTAAATGGTTTTCAATGCATTCCTATGGGAAATGGTGCTCCGACTTACTAAATTTTTGAGTTACGGCCACCGTTCCAATACGGATTAATTTCGTAAGTCAAGGCACCACTGTATATTTCATTAATAAAATTCTAGCTGAGGCAAAATTAAAGCAGATGGCGTAGTGGAAAACTAAAGCAGGCTCCGTTCCCCCAGATCACATAATATAGCTCTATGGCTTTGGCTTCAATGACGCTAGATGACATTTTCCAGGAGTATAATTTAAACATTATGTGTAACTTCATGTGTGATGCACCAGAATGAAGCAACAGCAGTTACTCAGCGAGCAAATCCTCTTAGGTTGCTGAGGCAGAACAAACATCCTCCTGCAGGGTTGCAACAATCTGTATGCTTCCAGGCATCCAAATCAAGGCCTATTCTTCTAATCTTGATGCTGCTGCTTCAGTCACAGGCCTGCAACTGTTTCCAAGGGAACCGCATGCCCTGTCTGCAGACCTACAACACCCCTGCTCAAAGCTCATCTCCCTCTGCCAGAAGAGCAACAGAAGCTTATCTGTGACAGCCAGGCCCGTATCAGCTTGTGCACGACACGGAGCCCTCCACTCGTGGCAAGGAGGCCGGACTAGGGTAATGATGGGCATTGATCTGACGTTGTCTAGTGCCACAGCAAAGCAACCAATAAAAGCATTCCAAGTGCAGAAACAAAAGATGAGAGTAGAACAACAGCGGCAGAGGCTTCCCACGAGCTTTGAGATCAGAAAAGGGAAATTAGGATCTCAAGGGCTCAAAGCACGGCTTGGTTTAATTGCCGACATCAGTCAGTCACTTCATTTTGACAATGGTGATGCTGATGACAGAGCCCTGTCCTGCAAATGAATATTCAATACCCATCTCTTAAGTACTGGTCAGAACATCCTGACAACCCTTCTTGAGCAGGAGTTTCTCCACCACAAGCTTCACTGAAACAAGCGGAGGAAAGACAAAAGCACAGTTATGCCTCTTCAGCTCCTGATTATTTCAATGCAACACATCGGACTATGTTCTGGGAAGAACACAGTCCAATACGTTTCCCTCCCAATCAGTTCATACACATGTTATTTACTTTAGAAAAACTATTTGCATACCTATCCCAGGATTTCAATGATTGTAATTTTTGGCAGATTATCAGCAAGGCTATACTTTTAAATCAGACGACAATCTCTCCAAGGCGGGCTGGCTAGCTCAGTGGTTTAGGTGTCAGAGGCTTGGCGTTCAGTTCCCAAAGAACGAACTGATCAAGGTCAGTTGTAAAAGAAATCTGCCAGGCTGATAGCATATACATCTTTGCAACTGCCTTAAAGAGCAATTTGCAAGCAAGTCATACAACAGATCTGTGGCAGAAAGGGATTTCTGGATATTTTCAGTTGAATAAAATTGTGATTAAAAAAGAAATTTCCCATGTTAGTGAGGTATCTGGCTGCAGAGCCAGATGGTGGGAGTTCAATTTCCCACTGTGCCTCCCAGAGGAAGAGCTAGCCTCAGTAGCCTTGGGCAAACTGCCAATCCTAGGCCACCCCGAGAAAGGAATGGTAAATTGTTTCTGAATACTCTTATAGCCAGAAAAACCTGGACAGGTAGTCAGAACTGACGAGATGATGCATTAATATGATTATTTTTTGGCTACACAATGATTGATGACACAATCAAAAATCTTTCCAATTCATAATAAGGAAAGCCCAACTAAGAAAGTCGGCTTTCTTAGGAAAGCTAGACAACTGCCATTAAAAAAAAATACTGGCTGAATGGCTACTACTTGGCTGTAAAAATGGCCCAATGTTGCCAGATCTGGTCACCTGATAGAACCTGAGAGGTTTGGAGGATAGCACGATAGCCTTGTGGTTAAAACCAAGATGATGGCACTTGGTTTTTAATAAAGTCTGTTTTTTTAAACGAAAAAAATTAGGGTTAGGGTTAGGGCTAGGGAAAAGCAGGCAAAAGTGATTCACAAGCTATTGCAAATCACAACAACACTTTATTTCCAACAACTTTTATTCCAACAACACTAAGATAAATCCAAGTCACCTTCGATGCTAATTTTATGTTTTCTAATCTCCACACAGAGGACACATGTGCAGCATTCAAAGGAGTTCTCACTTTCCAAAGCTGTTCTTAGAGGGATATGGGATTAGAAGAAAAGTAGCTTTGGGGCTATTGGAGAGAAAATACAACTGTATTCTTAAGAATAAGTCAGTGTAGTGTGTTCTTGCTCTTGAATAGTTATTACCTACCATCAAGCCAATTCCAACTCCCAAAGTTTTCTAGATTAAAAAAAAACACCTTAGATTTGGTTCACCAATCCCTTACTTTTCATGGCACTGTGGGCACATATAACTGCTCAAGACCAACCAGGTGGTAGGGCATGTAACCCCATCACCACACACCTGCTGGGTGATCTCGGCTGGCTTCCTTCCCATAATGCACAGGGGGATTCAAACTCGTGCTTCAGTTTGCAGAGCTATACTACTCTTAGTTTCCAAGGCGCTATAGGTCACTCCGGCGTATTAGGACTGCAGGTACTGTGGAAACAGAGTTGCCGTCCAATAACGTATAAAATGACCTATAGCCTTACTGAACCTAAGGCTTGTTCACTGGCCCTGAATATGCATGACTTAGAACAATTGATCAATAGTACAATCAGTCCTTGCTAGTTCCCACTGTCCCCACAGACCAAAATTACACTGAGTAAGCAAATGTAGAATGCTGAATAAAACACAACATTCAGCAACTGATATTGCCTAAAACGCAACAAAAGGCACCTTTCACTGTCCTTCATAGGACTATGCGTGTTTCATTCTCACCTCCCATTCCTACCTAAAGAGATACAGATAAGGGCTTAAAATCCGAAAGGTGAATACAAGGATAGGGGATTCTTTTACTCCTGTCTGCAGCTTTGGGGTGGATTTTGTTTTTAAGTGAGAAATTTGGGCAAAACCAGGTTCCTGCTTCACCAGCCCTCTCCACTAATCCTTCAACAAACACACTGCACTGCTCCTTTCTAGAAAGCAGAATGCTGCAGAGATCAGAGGAAACCATATGAGACAATATAGCCTTGCGCAGGCCTGAATTAGATGTTCTCGCCTGGGGTAAATGTGATTTAGAAGTCAAATACACTCAGATTTGACTGACTACATTTTGACGAATGAGGGGCTTTGCTTTCCACACTCTTCAAAATCCCAGAAAAGGAATTAATGCAGCCTGGCAGATACTCACCCCTCCTCGCCCAGCTCCAGGGACAGTGGACCAGAAGAAGCCTCTCCAGTCAGGATCTTCAAAGATGTAGGGCAAGATGCGGGTCAAAAGGCGGCTGCAATTCAGGACAATCTGCTTTTCCTTTTCAGAATGGCAGCCGCTCTCAGCTCCCTGCACCAGTTTTTCCACTGCCTGGAGCAATGGAGATAAAGCAAATGGTGGAAACCATGGACATCCCACTACTAAGAATTGTCCAAAATAACAGTCGTTTTTAACAAGCATATTCCATCTTCATCACACCACATTATTTCTTATTGCCTAAGGCACTCATTTCTTGTTGCTACTGGCTTCATCATATAACACAACTATCTTCTCAAAAGAACATTTTCTCAAAATGTGACAACTTGGAAAACATGGATGAGTGTGTCCCTATGGGATTGCAAGAAAGACCAGCCTCAACATTTAAGGCAGGGGTCAGCAACTGTGGCCCTCTTGTCGGATTGGAACCCTGTCACCCCACACTACTGGCTTTGAGGGCCTGGGCTACTGGGAGCTACAGCCCAGCTAGAAAACCCCAGTTGCCCACCCCTAAGTTAAGGAAAAGCAATTTTTCTCCAGCTAGTGCTGTGTTCCAGGCACTGCTCCTCTAGTATGCACATCTCTGCGAGGGGTCACAGGATTCCAAAGATATAAAACACCCTAAACTGACATCAAGGCACAGAAAGGCAGCTCAACAGATCCATTGTCGGCTGTGGTTTATGGTAATCTCAAAAAAAACGAAATGGAGTCAAACTATCAATGCCCTGCAAGGCAGACAAACACGAAAGCTCTCACTCACTTCAAAAGGATTAGCAGTAGCAATCGGCCTTAGACAGAATTAGTCTGCAAGGCAAAGGAAAACATGCACGGATCTGGGTTGCAACTGCAATACTTTTAAGGGGTTCTCACTCCAGATACTTATATATGCATAGGATCAAGAATCAGAAAGGATGCTGACTACTTGAAGAAATTGTATTCAGGAAGTATATTTGCAAAGCTGAGCTCATAAACACCACACCACCTAATTCCTCTCCACCAACCCCAAGACAGTATACCGTTGCGTTAAAGTGAGGTGACATTAGCCAAAACGTTGACTCTGATGATTTTACTCTCCATTAAACAATTAACCACCCCAATGCATCCACTCTAGAATTTCTGTCTGTACTGTTTTCACTCTAGACTGTCTGTCTGTACAGCCACCCAACCTTCAGCTGCAAATAACATCTCACCAAAAATAAGACCTTACCTGAAAATAAGCCCTAGTATGCTCATAATGTAAGCCCTACCCCCAAAAATAAGCCCCAGTTAAGGGAAACCCCGCCCTCCACCCTTGTGCAGCAACCAGAAGAAGATGACACAACTGTATTTGAATAAATGTAGATGGTTGTACATGAAAAAAATAAAATAAAGTATTCCCTGAAAATCCCTAATGCATTTTTGGGAGCACAAATTAATATAAGACCCTGTCTTATTTTTAGGGAAACGCAGTAGATACTTCAAGAGCAAACACTAGCATGGAGGAATGGAATGAGAGGGTTTTAAAAACCACTCCCCTGTGCTGTGGTCCAAATATGGACTAGGCCCCGAGTGGTCCTGAGCAATGGAGAAAAACATCAAGCAATCATGATCGGGATACATTACAAAAGGTAATGTCACATTTAAGAACAATCATCTTGTCTTGGATGCGCTCACCTTTGCCCAAAGGCCACCTTAAAACAAACAGGTGTGTTTCCACAACTGAATGTCAACAGGGGGAAAAAAAAGTGCTTTGAACACACCTTATAACACAGAGTAGCCAAATTTGAAGGGGATTCTTCCCTCACAGCTCTGATTTCTGCAGCAGGAACCAGAGCAAAGACGTCTTGGACTGAAGTAGCTGTATCTGCCCAGAACTGGTCCCAGAAGGCATCATCTGTTGCTTCTACAGGCTGCAGAGACATAAATATTGCAAGAAATTACTTGGGAGCCACACAAGGGAGTAGGTTAAACAAACAATTATAACCAACACAGCTTTGTGCACTGGCCTTACCCTTGAACTGATCAGCATATAAAGTTAGCAGGTAGACATCAGAGTCTTACTAAAAGCCATAGCTAGAGAACATTAAATGTGATACTATGAAAGCAACAAAACATGGACACATAGGTCAAATGTGACTGCAGTATTAGTACAATATATGATTCTTGAAGAGACATGAATAAGGAAAATGGAAAGAAAGAAATATGGAAAAGCAAGATCACAGGAAATGGGAGCAGTGGGAGGTTATAAGGAGCAGAGGTGGAAAGAACAGTCTGCTGCAAAGCTGAAGTTCTGCCTACATTTCTTCCGTATCTTTTAGATGTTAAATACGTACTGTATTTTCTGGAACAGTCATTAGAAACTACACAGACGGATACAGGTTCATAGATACAACAACAGCAGTCTGCACAAGGACTTCCATCTATACACAATGTGTGCATACACTATTACTTTATCTCTCAACAAAAGGTTATTCTTCTTCTGTAAGAACGTCTTGAAGAAAGTCTTGAAAAAAAGGATTCTTCAAGAAGATGTGAACACAGCCCTTCAGTCACTACAGATTCACGAATATTGTTGAATTTAGCAAAATGGCAGTGACTACAAGCAGTCAGTGCTGAACGGCTTGTGCAATCGACATAATAAAAGCTCAAAAAGCAAACAACAGCTTTTGCCCTGGAGTGGTTATCCTAAGCAGTCAGTGGCTTGAAATTATGTTTGGGAAGGGTGAAGGGAAAGAGATATGTTTGTTTAAATTAAAAAAATGTCGTAGCTAATAATTTCCTGGTGTTTTAGCAGCAGATGCATTATTAAAGGAGAATTTATAAAGCAACAGATGGTAAGAAACTCTACCACACTGGATTAATATTTGGCTGTCACAAAAGAACACCACCTTATATGAGAACAGGTGATGTGTCACTAAAACACAAAACTCAGAAAGCTAAAGCAAGCAAGGTGTAAACTGGTAGAACAGGTTTTCTGTGTGTTGGGGGGGGTATTGTTCTGTGAGAGACTGTTGCCAACTGTGGCTGTGACTACAAGTTTAAATACCACAGAATTTGCTCCACTTATAAAATTGGTGAATTCAAGGTCTTTTTTTTAACTGACCACATGATGCAAAGGCTGATTCAAATCAGTCCAGCCCTTTTTGCTCCCAAAGCAGCTTTTTCTTTTCTGCCATGGGGGGAAGAGTGGCTTCTACTTTTTAAAATACGAACAATTGCAACAGTCTTTTTCCCATGTGGTTAGTTGTGATACATTTTTGTAAAGATGGCAGATCCTTTACAAGGAGGCGTTTTGGGGTTTTGGCATTTGGGGCATGATGTTCAGGACCCAGCAAACATGTCCTTGCACCCTTTCTGCTCCCCTGATCATCCTCTGATCTTTTTAATTAAATAAAAGAGACTCTTATGTAGCTCTAGATCACACTATCATCTTATTGCTAGGTCCTCATTACTATTCCCCACATTTACACCCTATATATCAGGATTGGCAAAGGCAGGAGCAGAGGAAAGAAGGGGGAGTTGTGAGCTGGAATGCAAATCACATTGTATCCAGTATGAATGGTGAATCCCCAAATCAATCCACGGATCGTGTGTTATCACTGGTTGCAATTTCAAACATAATACAGACTGCCAATCCAACTGCAGCAAAGACAAATCAGTCTGATTTGGCTTTCCAGCATAGTCACACCTTAGTCCCTGGCACTGTCCTTATGGCCATATAAATCAGCCTCTTTAAAATCTCTGGAGGTAGGCACTTAGTCATAGGTGACTGCTTCAATACAGAAAGTATTTGCAAGGTCTAGCCAATGGGCAATGAACACTGAAAGTCTGCAATCAGTTCCTCCCATTAAGAAAGTGGGAACGAGGGTGCAGGGTGAGACAGATTTCACAAGAAAACTTATCTGGGACAGCAGATCCCTGAGAAAAAGGTATTTTAGTGGGTCCTATGTGCAGCCACATTAAAATCTATGAGTGTATTTACACTGGCATTTGAAGAATTTAATAGAAGGTTTTTATGAGCACAAGCAGCTCTTGATTTGGACAGAATAATCAGCAATCACTATGGAGAATAAATGTAACTGAAACAAGTTGGGTGCACTGTATTGGGAAATGCAGGCATATCCACTTTCTTGACAGTTACTAGATTTTTTTATATGGCTGTTTTCAACATGGCTCTGTAGCAAATTACTGAATTCAGGTGACTGTGAAAAGAAAAAACAGCACAAGGAAGATCCCAAAGAATTCCAACAGTACATTACATTGAGCAGAACTTGCAGATAGAAGAAAGCAGCAATGTTCTTTATTTATTTGCACTGCACGGACGTTTTCCTCAGACATACACAGCTGAATCTGCATTGTAACAAACTGTTTGAATATTGCTTCTTCAGATATCATGAGGATACATACAGAAGCCAAAATTCTTTGTATATAACCTGGGGGAGCAAACACACTTATGACACATTCTTTTAAACATAAAAAACAGGTGTAATAAAGTTATTCCAGCATAACTTTATTCAGCTCTCTCACACTAAGCTTCCACTGCCTCTGCTAGAATCAATTTGTAGCCGGATGCAATGAAATAAAAAGCCATTCTTTGTGTCATTCTGTGTTACACTGTAAGACACTTGGATGCAGATTTGCCAACATACAAAGTAATATATCTGACTAAGCCACAAGACCAAGCTATTTAGGCACAGCTTCAGCCACATGGCAAAAAAATAATAATCATATACTATACAACCAGTACATCTCAAATCATCCATGAGTGAAATTAGCAGGAGACACGGCAAAGACAGCACAAACCTATTATGTATTTATTGGGATCCCCATTGTACCAATTCAGTTTACTTCCAGATAAACAAAAATGAGATTGTGGCCTTTGCCAATTAAAAAAAAAGGCATGAGAGAGAACACAGCTCAGACTTGGCATCTAGTTTATCAGCCACCATTCTGAAAGATGCTCAAAATTCTGTGTATCACGAGTTACTGGATACCCTTCATCTTACTGGCCCTGCGGAAGTGGACAAAACCTTTACAGAGCTGCAAAGTGCCACCTGTGTACGGGCTTTTTGTCCACCCTTGATGGTGAACTGAGTACAGACAGAGGAATTCGGAGCTGTCTGGTTTGCATTTAAAAGTTTCTTATCTTCAGTGGGATTTATTTCATCTTTCCCTTGAGTGATTCTTTCCAGTCACACCAGAGATGTTCATTCTCCTGCAAGAAGGGTTTACTTGTGTGTAAGAGTTCCTGTTTTACTCCTGAGTAAAATTTAAACAGCTTACCAGTGAGTAAGGAGGCATCAGCAGAGGGTGGGGAAGACAGAGCAGTCTCGTGGCAGCAGTACTGGTATGAGGGGGAAATGTTGGGGAAATGGAAGGGAGGATAGCCATCCGTTTCCTCACCCTCGTCCTCCTCAGCTGCGACTGCGCTGTCTTGTGGCGGGGGAGCCCATGAAGTTCACATAGCTCCTCTTCCCCTGCCTTTTCTCGCAACTATCTTTCAGCTAACCTTTTGTTGTTGTAAAAGAAAGTAAGTGGCATATCAACAGAGCAATGCATCAACCAAGTACAGTATAGTATTAGAATTGTGTGTGTCAGCTAGGAAAATATTAATAAATAATAATGACAATAATAAAGAGGATGAAAATGGGGGGGTCTCCATCCTCCCTTTTAATGTCACAACCCACCTATTGCATCACTGAGCTGTCACTTTTGCTAATGCCACCCACAGCTTCATTAATGAGATAATTAGGATCGTGCTGAAGCATACCAAAAATAATACATGCTCTACTGCTGTGCCAGAAAGTTGCATGATAGTTTTTAAAGGAACAGGATGGATAGATTTAAGTTTAAATACATGTGGACACTGTCATTTTGTTTAAACCAAACCATACCAACAATGCTCCATAAGCAATATGGCCCCCATATCCACTGGGGATTGATTCCAAGACCCCTGTGGATGCTGAAAACCACAAATAGTGAATACGATTACCAGAACTGCCCACGAGAGGGTGCCAGCGACCATGCTGTGTATTCTTCATTGATAAGTATTCATAGCATGTTCTGGCTCCCTCTAGTGGCCAGTTCTGGTAATACATGTGAAAATAGTTTTTTCTGGATTTTTTCTTTTACTATTTTGGACGTGGATAAGTGAAACCAGTGATCCAGTGGACAAGGGGGCCCTACTGTACCTTAACATAACAGCTTGTGTCCTTATAGAAGATCATGGCCAAATATCATGATAGTGATATGGGCGATGAGGATGGGCCTTTGGAACCCCTCCTGAATCTTTACTGCCAAACATCAAATATTATTTTAAAGATAGTGTGTGGGTGTGGTTGAGATACAATTCATGGGGCTTCTGGAAGATACTATTTTCACAGAGGTAGTGTTTCGGAAGCCACAAGAACAAAACAAAATAAAATACAGAAGTATTGTGGCACCCTTGAGGATGATCTTTTGTAGATTAGTATCCCATGTGTCTGAAAAATGGGATTGTAATCTGTAAAACCTCATATTGAATCTGTCAATCTTAAAGATCTCACCAATGCTTTATTTGGGGCGGGGAAAATAAACTATTTATTGAGCGCCCTTGTTGTCTGGTTTTCAGCTTGATTTCATGAGAGAAACAGAAATGGATTATTTGCATCAAGAGAAGGATTAGGGAATCCTGGTTCTCGTCAATGTCCTAGTAGCATTCATAATGTCAACCCTCTGGGTGACAAATGGGACATGGATTAGAGCCACTGCTAGGTTGTCTCTCCCTACTCCTAAGACATTGCACTCAAGAAGTGGTGCTGTAGGATGACTGCTTTTCCACTTGACCAGTAGGATTCTACAGATTTTCATCTTGCTTCTCACTCTTTCTGTTCAAACCTACTTGAAACCACTGAGCAAAGAGTTCTACAGA